AGCCCTGGGCGCCACTGGGTGTGGCCCAAAAAGAAAAAGGGAAAGAAAAAGAATAAGATGTTCAGAAGGAGGTGTAGTAATTTTGCCTATTGATGCCCTAAACTTGAACACTATTATAACTACTTAAACAATCACAAAAAATAATGAACAAATTTTCATGGTGTAATTCTCCTTAAAGTAAGTAAAGGCCCTCCCGTTGATCATCGATTTGCTCGAGCGGGCCCAGTAACGTCTCCATTGGAGACTTTGTTGTTACTGTGTCTGGCATATCGAATACTCTCGGTAGCTTGCCGGGCTCTCCGAGAGGGGCGGAGGAATCGAACTCGGGTCGGCCATGTTGGCTGCATGCAAGACAGACGCCCTACCCGCTGTGCTATCGCTCCAGCCCTTATCGATACCATAAACCTTAATGCTATGGTAACTTCAAATTAAATAGATAAAAATAGCCTTTAAAGAAATTTCACCAATCTAAATGATCATCTGGAAGCATAAAGTCCAAATTTAAATTTGTACCTGCTTTTTCTGGTCATGTGGAAGCCACTCCTGTGGGCTGTTGACTCAATTTTGCTTTACGATTTCAATTTTGCTTTGCTCTTGCTGGAAGGCAGAAATAGTGCCTGTTTCAAGAAGGATCTGAGGGGCCAGAGAGTATAGCAGGAAGGGTATTTGCCTTTGAATAGACACTGCTAGGGTTCCCTGGCACCCTAGATGGTCTCCCAAGCATGCCAGAATTGATCCCTGAGCCTAGAGCTAAAAGTAAACCCTGAACACATCCAAAGGAGGCCCAAAATTAAAAAAAATAAATAGAAGGACCTATAGTTGCCTTGGCATATTCTCTTTTGCCTTTCAGCCCATCGATATACCCATTCTGCTATGGATATGGCAGAGACTATTCATTTAAGATAGACCCTCCCTTGGGGGCTGGAGCACAGAGGGTAGGGCATTTGCCTTGCAAGCGGCCGACCCGGGTTCAATTCCCAGCATCCCATATGGTCCACTGAGCACCTCCAGGAGTGATTTCTGAGTTCAGAGCCAGGAGTAACCCCTGAGCATCGCTGGGTGTGACCCAAAAATAAGCAAAAAAAAAAGTAAAAATAAAAAAAAAATAAGATAGACCCTCCCAAAGCAGGGTGCACGTGAGGAAGCCATTGTGGATCATTAAGTGGGGACTAACACACAGTCCCCTGGCTACCTGCTACCTGGCCACCCTCTATTCTTAGGCCTTCTATAGGCTGCTATCCCTCAACCAGGAATTAGAGAACAGCAGAGGGATTGATAGAAGAATGATCTGGGGGCGGAGAAATTTCCAAGTGAATGGCCGGAACCAGTAAGCAAAGTAGAAGAAGCTTTGCACCCAGGGTATTGGTGCTAGGAGGAGGGGGTTTGGGGGGATTGTGGGACTCAGCATTGAGGTTTCCCATCCACCCCCCCACCCCCGTCACCCCCACACCATCTCTGCCTTCGCACTGCTCTCACAGGGATCACCTGTGTTAGTAGAAATGAAAAGGCTGTTCTGTCTGTGAGCTCGAAAATCATGCCGAAGAGAATTTCCAAAAAAAAAAAAAAAAAGTTCATGTAAAGAACGATTTCACAGCAATGATCATCTTGGGCTCCTGGAAAATTGCACCTCAGTCACTCAAAGGAATTTGTAAATTGGCTCCCAGCCATCCTTGTTCATCCATGCACCGCCTGCAGAAACCCCCACCATGGTGCAAACTTGAAAGCCAGTTGATTTGCAAGCCCCTCACTCCACACCTCCAGAGTCCTGCAGAGCTGGGTGGGCCACACTGCCTGCCTGACTTCCCGGCTTCCGGCTTCCTGCTGCCTTGGGTCAAGACCCCCACACATCCCCCTCCCTCCCCCGCACCCCCATTCAGGGTCCTGGAACAAGGCAGAGGGGAATGGTTGTGGGAAGACGCCTCTTTGAACTCGCTCACAAAATTAGGAGAAAGGCTTTGAACTCTGCCAGATAATAGCTGCTATAAATGGTTATGCAAAGACAAGATTCTCATTTGAAATTCTTGAGAGAGCCTTGGGGTGGGGAGATGAAAGGGTGGAAACAAGACTTTCTGGAAATCACGCCCTTCCCCCTTTTGTGTCATTTCTCCTCCTCCTCGTCACCATATTGTTGCAGCTGTGAGATGGGGATGACACCCCTGGTCTCTGTCACCAGGTGGTTCTGTTCCACCTTCCTCTGTCTCCTCCTCTCTGACACAGAACTACTGGGGAGGGAGAGAGTTCAAAGGGCTGGAGCACGCATGCGCCTCATGGGCCCAAGTTCGATCCCTGGCACCACTTAGTCAACCCTCCCCAGAGCAATGCCTCTGTGGATTCAGAGCTGCCACAAGTCCCGTTGGCCAAGGAACCACTGGGGGTGGCGCTTGTCCTCCTAGTATAACTTGAGAAGACCCCCAAAATATGGTACTATTCATGAATACCTCCTCAGTGACTCGGGGAGGGAAATGAACTCCTGCTTATTCGTGGGCAGAGAATGAGGGCCACATGTCACTGTCCAGTTGGCACTGCCAGTGTTTGAGCTGGCAGTGACAGGGCCAGTTCCTGGTGGAAGTTTGGAACCTGAGGCAAGAAAGTGCAGACTCAGGGCCAGAGTGACAGCACAGTGGGGAGGGCATTTGCGTGGCACGTGGCCGACCTGGATTTGACCCCCGGCATCCCATATGATTCCCAGATCACTTCCGGGAGTCATTCCTGAGTGCAGAGCCAGGAGTAACCACTGAGCATAGCCAGGTGTAATCCCCAAAAAATCGATAATAATAATGATAATAATAATTATAATATTCTAAAAAATGAAAGAGAGAAAGTGCAGACTTGGTGCTGATGGATTCTGACATTTCCAATACCCCTTCCCCAGAGCATCTGCTGGAACCACACAGCCCCACCACTGGCTCTCCAGGAATTTCAAATGGATTCCATTTTCCAGGGAACCCAGGGGTCCCTTTCCCCGGAGCTTGGGTCTCTTTCCAGGTGGGGGAGTCCTGAGTCCTGTGCCCAGGCAGGAGACCCCAATCGGTGACCTGAGCCCCGTAAGGTGAGGCCAGCGACCTGTCTAATGTATGCAGAGACACTCAGACATTTTACTGAACCACACTGGGTGGCAGTACCAGCCAATACACACAGGACGGGGACAGGAAATAATAATACCAACAGCACTCCATGTTAGTGTCTGTCTGTCTGATATCGGGGCCCAGGGAAACACACTTCTCCTCATCCCACCACTTCTTGCCTGAACTGAAACTTGAAGTTGAATCTGGAATTTGGTTCCTCTTTGATTGCTTCAGGTCAGAGACTTGGGGATGCTGCTCTGGGCTTCTCAGGGATGGTTTCTTTTTGGAGGGGGAATGGTGCTTTTTGTTTCTCTGGACTTGCCAAATGAACAAATCAGCAACCTGGAGTTAGGAGGACCCTGTGATGTCAGGGGAGACCAGCGGAAAATACACATGGGAGTTGGCATCTCTGTGGACCTCCTGCCTTGCTGACAAAAGAGCAGATAGCCACCTTCTATATATGGAGAGAACTTTCTAACCCCAGGGAAGCTCCTAGTTCCTGCCCACCTTCCCAGTGGGCTTCTCCCTGGGGTCTGGAGAGGCTCTCCTTCTCTTTGGAGAACGCCTTCCCCCATCCACCCCAAATTGCAGAGCGGAGAAAGCAGAGATGTTGGCTCATTCATAGATTGGCATGCGAACGGGCCATCCTTTCTATCTTTGCTTCACCTCTGGGCCAGATTCATTCATTTGACCTCAGTCTGATGTGCACATGTGCTTATTTGCTCACGGGCCAGATATTGAAGATGGGGGCTGAGGGGCGGATGATGAAAATGGATCTGTGGTTCCTTTCGGAGAATGACAGGTATCATGTAGGGGGAACAGAGGGCATACGATAGAACAGCTAGTGGGTGAGTTTCCAGAAGGCAAATGCAAGAGGATGGATGAAGAGTAGGCTTGGGCACAGCTGGGTGACAGCAGGTTGGCAGGAAGCATCCCCAGAGTTAGACCGAGAGATGGTGGAACGTCTGAACAGAGCAGCAGTTGGTGCTGTAGCATAGGCTGGCCACGTAGGTTGGAGCTTCAGGAGCTCGGGGAGAGTCCCAGAGGCATCAGAAATGGATGCAGGTGGAGCCAGAGTTCTCCCCCTTTGGGAGCCCCCCCTCGGCCCCTTGTCTTTCTATGTGCAATGCCCACCAGGCAGGGATGTCACTGATTTCTGCCTCAGTAGTATGCCTCTGGTGGTTGTACCTCCCTCAGTGGTGTTCCTGGTGCTTCTTGGGAACCCTGACTTTCGCCAGAATGGCATGCAAGGAATTCAGGTCCTGGAGGAGTGACCTTTTGGTCATCATTGCTCAGGATTTCTTCTGCCTTGTTTGTGTGATAGCAAAAGAATCCGAAGACCTGGGTGACTGGGTGACTGGAGACTCGGATGCTCTGTGTGTGTGTGTGTGTGTGTGTGTGTGTGTGTGTGTGTGTGTGTGTGAGAGAGAGAGAGAGAGAGAGAGAGAGAGGTGGGGGGGAGGGAGAAGAGGGAGAGAGAAGAGAGGGGGGAGAGAGAGAGAAAAGAGAGAAGAGAGAGGGGTCAATGAGGGACCCCAGGAGAGCAGGGCAGTGGCTGGGGTAGTAGAGAGAAGCTTGTGTTTGTTTTTCTATCCCAACTCACTGGGAGCCAGGTAGAGGCATATTTCCACTCAGGCTGTTTTTTTGTTTGTTTGTTTGTTTTATCTTTACTTACGTTTTCTAGTAATAGGCAACTAGCTCAAGTGTGAATTTGTTCATGTATAAAGCATAAAGCCACGGGATAGGGCGGGATGGGAGGAGCAGGCTGGGGCATGGGATGGGAAATAAGTCATCCGGAGCATTTCACACCCCTCCCACCCTGATTCGATTCATTCTCGGTGGATATTGGCATGGTGAGTGGGTTTCACTGTAATTTGCTCGGGATGCTCTCATGACACTCATGCTGACCTTTGACCCCTCTGTCCTCTCTCCCAGGTCGTCCCATCCCACCTACATCCTCGTCTAGCCTCCTCCCATCTGCTCAGCTGCCTAGCTCCCATAATCCTCCACCCGTTAGCTGCCAGATGCCATTGCTAGACAGCAACACCTCCCACCAAATCATGGACACCAATCCCGATGAGGAGTTCTCCCCCAATTCATACCTGCTCAGAGCATGCGCAGGGCCCCAGCAAGCCTCCAGCAGTGGTAAGGAAATGTGTGCTGTCTCCGCGGGCGGGCGTCGTGGGGTGTGGGCACCACCAGGTCTTGGGGGCCAAGTGACTGCTCGGGAGTCGGTGCTACCAAGAGCCTCAGGGCAGAATGTACCCATCTATCTGCCACTGAATCGCTGCAGGGACATTGGTGATATGTCTGTCTTATTGGAGGGACGTTGGTGACATGTTGGAGGGATGTTGGTGACATGTCTCTCTTCCTGGAGGGACATTGGTGACATGTCTGTCTTACTGGAGGGATGTTGATGATGTGTCTCTCTTCCTGGAGGGACATGGGTGTCATATATGTCTTCTTGGAGGGACATGGATGACATGTCTGTCTTCCTGAAGGGATGTTGGTGACATGTCTCTCTGAAGGGACGTTGGTGACATGTCTCTCTTCCTGGAGGGACATTGGTGACATGTCTCTCTTCCTGGAAGGATTTTGGTGACATGACTTTTTTCCTAGAGGGGTTTTGGTGATATGTCTGTATTCCTGGTTTGGGACATGTCTGTCTTTCTGGAGGAACATTGGAGACATGTCTCTCTTCCTAGAGGGACGTTGGTGACGTGTCTCTCTTCCTGGAGAGACATTGGTGACACGTCTCTCTTCCTGGAGGGAGTTTGGTGACATGTCTGTCTTCCTGAAGGGATGTTGGTGACATATCTCTCTTCCTAGAGGGATGTTGGTGACATGTCTCTCTTCTTGAAGAGACATTGGTGACATGTCTGTCTTACTGGAGGGACGTTGATGATGTATCTCTTTTCCTGGAGGGACATGGGTGACATGTCTGTCTTCCTGAAGGGATGTTGGTGACATGTCTCTCTTCCTAGAGGGATTTTGGTGACATGTCTCTCTTCCTGAAGGGACGTTGGTCACATGTCTCTCTTCCTGGAAGGATTTTGGTGACATGTCTCTCTTCCTAGAAGGGTTTTGGTGATATGTCTGTCTTCCTGAAGGGACATTGGTGACATGTGTCACTTCCTGGAGGGACATTGGTGACATGTCTCACTTCCTGGAGGGACATTGGTGACATGTCTCTCTTCCTAGAGGGGTTTTGATGATATGTCTGTATTCCTGGAGGGATATTGGGGACATGTTTGTCTTTCTGGAGGGACATTGGAGACATGTCTCTCTTCCTAGAGGGACATTGGTGACGTGTCTCTCTTCCTGGAGAGACATTGGTGACACATCTCTCTTCCTAGAGGGAGTTTGGTGGCATGTCTATCTTCCTGAAGGGATGGTGGTGACATGTCTCTCTTCCTAGAGGGATGTTGGTGACATGTCTCTCTTCTTGAAGAGACATTGGTGATATGTCATGTCTCACTGGTGACATGTTTCTCTTCCTAGAGGGACATGGGTGTCATGTCTGTTTTCCTGAAGGGACATTCGTGACATGTCTGTCTTACTTGAGGGACATTGGTGACATGTCTTTCTTACTGGAGGGGCTTGGCTTTGCCTCACAGGAGTGAGGGGGGCTTTGAGTGGGGAGTGGGTACAGTCTGCCCACTGCAGGTATGAGACCTTGCTGACCTCAGGAGCAATGTGCAAGAGAGACCACAGAACAGATTTTCTGCCCCTGCATTTCCGATCTCTAGAGTGACCCTGGTCACCCTCCCATGGCTGACCTGTGGGCATCTCCATGATCCTTTGTGGTTTGAGAGTTGACTCGTGACTTCTTCCTTGCTGGTTGGAATGATTCGGCCTTCTCACTGTGTCCCTTTCACGTGATACTGGTTTTCTTGCCAAGTCTGACGGGCTGGTGGGGGCAGGAAAGTGGGGAGATGGAGGTGACCTCTCTTAGAACCCCCTTCTGGGGCCACCACACTTGAATCTAGCAAGCTGACCATGTAGAACCTCCTACTCTCAGCCCTTCTTGCACATTGTACCTTCTTTTATTTTTATAAAGTAGTTGACAATTGGGGCTGGAGCAATAGCACAGCGGGTAGGGCATTTGCCTTGCATACAGCCAACCCGGGTTCAATTCCCAGCATCCCATATGGTCCCTTGAGCACTGCCAGGGGTGATTCCTGAGTGCAGAGCCAGGAGTAACCCCTGTGCATTGCCAGGTGTGCATTTGTGCATTTGCTAAAAAGCAAAAAAATAAAAATAAATAAATTAGTCCACAGTATTTGATTATATTTAATATTTAAACACCGATCCCACCACCATTACATCTTTCCACCACCATATTTCAGATTTTTCCATCCCGAGCCCTGATCCCTGCCCAAAAGCAGAACCAAAATGAATATCATATTTCCCACTAAGGTTGGTGGTCTCCTACTTTGAATCCCATCAAATGTGGTGCGGTACTCTTGCAGTATGGGTAGGGTTTGTCCTATGAAGTGTTGTGTGGCCGTTCCAGGAAAAGGTTCACTTGTGGGTGAGGCTTGGCCCGAGCGTGTGGAGAGCAGCCGTGAACATGGCAGCAGTTGAGTTCTGGAGGTTTCAGCTTCAGGAGCTGGGTCCTTTGGTGTTATGCTCCCTTCTGGGAGAGAAGGACCACACGCATTGTACCTTCATGGAGCAGAAGAGCTGGTCTTAGGCTTTCATCTCTCTGGGAGGATTTTTCAGCCAAAGCCTGAGGTGTCAGTGTCCAAATCCTAGGTAATATCATTGCCAGTCCAGTGAGAAATTGCGCCATGCTTTGGTTTCTCCTGCTGGTGACATGTTCCCATGAACAGACAATCATGGACAATATCATGAGGTTAAGTATCCATGGGCCACGGACTGGCATTTGTAGAAAGAAATTGCTCTTGACTCCGTAGCCTTGATGTGATCTTCCAAATTGGCCACTCATCACATATTTATTAGTACATCCCAGGCCAAGCAATCCAGAGCTCTCTAGAGCAAGAGTGTCCCTTGATGAGTTGGCTCCATCCATGAGTGTCTGCCGTGGCAGGCTTCAACCTCTACAATTAGAATGGAGCTCCTTCAACCCAGATGATGAGGCATTTTGGAGTTTGGTGGGATGGACTGCCACTTGTGATGGCCCATGCCCTTCTTCAAAGCCAGGCCTGATATATTTAGTAAACTCAAATTCTAACCCCCCCCTCCAAAATTGCCTAATCAAATCTCTCATCAAATGAGCAATCCATTGTTGATATTATGAAGGCCTTTAATCTACCATAAATCTTTATTAGAACTCATCAGAGCTCCTAGTTTGAGAGAAATGTGATTATGGCACTCTTAAAATGACATTACATCATTGGGGTGATTGGTTTATCATTTGGAGAAGAGGCATCAATCATAACTCACATAACCACACAGCAAATGAATTCAACCTTTCTGCTGCGGAACAATGACACTGTAATTGCTCAAAATCAGGCTGAAAATGAAATCAGAAAATGCTCTTTCTTCAAATATGATGTTAACTTAATGGAATATATTATGAAAAATCATGTTTGAGGAAATTCTATATAATTAAAAATAGGTGGAAATATATTCCCCGTTTCCTTGCCTCGCCACCCGATTTTAGCTCACAGGACCCTTTATTTGCTGCTGCGATTATGTTGCGTATAATTGAACTACCCTCGCTTGTGTTGTGCTGCTTTTTTATTTCAAACTATGCAATCACCATGAATATCGTCTTGTGGAGGACAAGAGGCTTTTGAAATGAGGCGCACCTGCTGGTCGATTTTTTAAAAAAGAACAGAGATTATTAGGGGGGAAAATGAGCTTTGGAAAAACTGTATTCCTGGATACCTCTATGAAGGTCCAAGCAGAGATTTACGTCAATGAGGTCAGCTCATATCTCAGAACCCTCCAGAACACACACTCTCCATGATAATGTGGGGAGAGTTTTCTTTCAACATTGTACCTGCTCGTGTGTTTTTGATGGAGTATTTTTGTCAGCTTTCGGCCTCATCAGGACCTCATTTGGGCGGACACGAGATCTTGGTGTTCAGAGTCAGGTTTATCCATTTTTCATCACTCAGACCAATTTGTTCAACCCACTTAAGATGGATAGCGAGTTAAGCTTCGGTAGCTGACCAAAAATGCGCAGAAAATTTGAGGGTCTGTTTCCATCACAAACAAGAGCTGTGCTGATAGCAGGTCTTCACCCTAGGGTTGAAAATCCAAGCGTGCGACACCCTTATTTTCAGGGGCCACTTACTTGAGAAATTGTTAAGACGCACAGCAATCTTTCCAAGTTCTTGACTTAGCTAAAGTGAGGTCAAATGTATGTTCACTCCTGTGTGTGTGTGTGTGTGTGTGTTCTGAAAATTATTTGGGGTGAATGACAAATTGGGGATTCTATCAAAATCTGAATAAACCTGCCATGAATTTAAATTTGACATAAAGGATTGAAAATAGAGTTTGACAGAGAAGATGCAGAGTGTAAAGATGGATCTGTGTTCTGAATTGAGTTTGATGTTTGAGGCTGGATTTCCAGGTTGGCATGGAGGCAAGGGGTTGGGGGGGGGGGGCACGAGGGTCCCAGACAAAGCGAACAGGGGATGAGCTGAGTTCTGTTTACCTGTTTGACTGCACAGAGTTTGTTTCCCTTGGTCTCTCAGCAATGGCCTTGTATATAGAAAACCGGGTTTGATTTTTACAGGAACTGTTTTTTTCATGATGACAGAAGTCTCTTTTCTACCCATGACAGTAAAATTGGTTCCTGCCTCACTCTGAGTGTGATTCCACAACCCCATCACCCCGCCTTTGGCATTAACATAGCCCAGGTTTAGGAGAGTGACCATGTCCATTCCCTGCGCCCCAAAGATGCGGTTGTCCAGAGAGAACCTGGACATAAAGCACATGACTGAAGTACATGAGAACTTCAAAGAAACAAGAGAACTTCTTCTCTGAGCCCAATGGCCCTTATTTTCTAAAACTGATTATTTTCTATCCCTCCAGTAATAAAGGGTACTCAACCCCTGACCTCTGTGGAGACCAACTGGTCTACCCCCAATCTCTGCTAGTCAAGCAGAAAGGTGGGTTCTACTTGTGAGACTTTGAAAAATCATTCCTTCCCCTCCAACATTTTCATC